TGTGTGTGTGTGTGTGTGTGTGTGTGTGTGTGTGTGTGTGTGTGTGTGTGTGTGTGTGTGCATACAGATGGGCTACATCACTGTGCTAGTTTTTGACCTAGTATTACAATAAGTTTGCTTGATGAAAGTACTTGGCCAAAAGTAAATGAAAGGAAGAGGGATGAAATGTGAAGGCGTCGATCCCGAAAGCTCCGTTCTTGACTTGAAATCATGTTGTTTGGAGGGTGTTTGGTTTTGAATACTCCACCATTTATGGCATTGCAGACTTTTGCAATTTAGGACAACACTTGGAATTTGTGCAACCTTCAAGTAAATCAGTGCTCAAATTGAACGAAGTAGATATATTGTACTGATAATCAACATGATTCAAATTGTTTGTATTTCCAATGAAACTCTCTCTTCTTAATCAGCAATCAGTGGAGCTTAGAACGAAGTTTCAGGGGAAACCGATTCTCGATTGTTGATCAGGAATAAGGAGTGTCTAAGGCTTTATTTTTTTCGAAATCTTGGTCTAGCAGGAACGATTCTGGGACACGACGTCAATCTCAGTTATGGATAAAATGTGTGCGAATAAATGAATTCATAATAAACCAGGAATTTGTCGCCGCGCAAGGTTAGGACTTCTAACTGTTGACTGGAGCTCTTGTAACAGAAAGTCCGTTAAAGAAATTGATGTCTCCGACGGCTTTAGGCCTAAGTTTACCACAAGTCTTCCTACGAGGGGGGGGGGGGGGGGGGGGGGGGNNGGGGGAGACCACTGCAAATAATGTATTTGCCTAAAACTAATTATTATTTTTCATACTTCAGGTGGCTTGAAGGGAGATCACACCAAGACCAGTACAATTAACTACGAACCCAGCAGCAACACAACTCAATCTCAGCCATCCCAATCTCTCTCCGCATCTTCGACCCTCAATCCTCTCTCCCTTGACACAGCTTCTGTCGACGCAGCCGCTGCAAACCTCCTTAATCTTATGCAGTGGGTCACGAATGCCAATGCGACTTTCGCAGCCGCTGTTGCAGCCAATAATCGGCAGGGCCACAACGCTCCATCAACTGTTGATATCAGGTCAATTTCCAAATCGACACCATCAAGTGTAGCAGTGGACGAGGCTTCAGCTGTCGCACTGGACGCTGCGGAGACGGCAGCACTTTTGGACCCGATTGCAGCATCTGGGGGTGCTCCCGCACCGGTCCTCTATCCGAATTCAATATCTGGGGGTGCAGGGGGAGTCAACAACGGTGGTAGCGGCAGTGGCGGACAATCAGCGGGAGGGTTTGGAGGTGGGGGTGCATTTGGAAGAGGGGGCTCACAACAACAACCTGGTGCCTCTTCGTCCTCCTCTTCTATAGGAGGTTGGGGAGGTGGTCAACCCCCTCCAATGCTTCCTCCCAACGCTCCTGGTTCGAGTCTCCAGGTCAGAACTTACTATTATTACAATTACTCGTAACACTGGGAAAAATCTGGCTCACAGGTTGTGTAAGATTATGCTCTCTCTCTACATTCAAAACTCATTGACTGGTTGATTTATTTTCGTATCTGGTTGTGTCGTCCTGAATTAGTTGCATCTTTTCATCGCTACGATCAATTAGATGATTGTATAGGCTTAATCAGAAACTATCATCTTGGTGATTCGTTACTTGCTATTTAATGCTTGAGGTTTTTGTCCTTCAAGATATGTGGTCTACCAACTTGGCAAATTCGTGACCCCCTTATCATTATTACCTTTTCTGGGCTGATTGATTTCGTTCAAGGGAGGGGTGGTTGCTGAATGAGGCATAGTTTTGAAAGCTCCATGACCATCTAATTGCATTCATGGGGGCGTAATTAATAAACCAATTCATCATCTTTTCTTTCTGAAAGTAGAAGAGAGAGTGCTTACATGGAAATGAATGGCAGAATTAATTTCAACTAATTCTGCAATTCCAGGTTAGCCCTTGTTCGAGCTCCAAATAGTTAATGGTGTTGACATAGAAGAGAGGGAGGGGGGGGGGCTATTTTCCTAACCTATTTGACTGACAAAATCTATCCGACTGTCAGGTGTTATTCGTTTTGATCAATAAAGTTGCAAATGCTTTGTACTATAATGGTTCTTGTGTGCAGAGACATTCCTGTCGGCTACGCTTATGTCCACCAACGCGGTAGGTAAGTGCTGACAATGGGTATTGATTTTCTTCAATCTTACTTGGCAGGCTTGCACATTACTGATACAAGTTTCTCAGTCTGTTATTGTGTCGTTTGAAACAGCCCACTTTAATTTCCCAACGAAAGAGTATTTTTTCATGTTGGCTTACTGTTATTGCCTACTAGGCATTTTAATGCTCTGTCGGGAGATTTTGTTCGCAGATGTGACGACGCCACTTTGGTTTCAGCTCTTCGGAGTTGTTTGTTTGGGGTTTTTTTGCATTGAAACGGGAGATTTCAATCAAAGGTGACCACTTTCGACGTCAAGTAGTTATTTCACATTCATTTCTTCCTTTGAAATATATACATCTTGTCAAGTACGAAAGTACGTTAATGTAAGGCGTTATTGGCTCAATCTCTTTCCTATTCGTTTTCTTGGAAAAGTCTCAAACTCATCTAGGAGATTGATTTCTAGCACTCGTTTTGAGTAAATACATAAGCGGGTTTCTCTCTAATTCACCCCTTTGTTACCCCGGTCTTAACAAATACAGTTGTCCATTCCGTTGGCTGTATGCGCTGATTGGTATCGAACCCCTTCAATTTATGAGTTAGTTAATTTTCTTAACCTAGCTTTGATTCCTTGAACCTTAGTTTTTTTCATTTAACCCTAATTATTAATTTTTTGTTGAAAAATGCACCCAACCGCTATCAAGCATACCAATGAGGTTATTTTGAAAGTCGAGCCTGTACTGTCTCATGCAGGGCGTTAAAGAGGGCTGATAGGAGTTGCTTCATAAGGTATATTTTCTCCACTTCGTATTCCTCTGAGTTATCTATCTGTTGTTGTTATGACTCGGTACATAATGACGAAGCATAAATATATATGTAACTCAGGCTTTTCTCTGACTTGCATTATGCATCTGCATTTTACGTTGTGGGTTTATTCTTTACCTGATTAGCAGGGGGGGGGGGGGGGGGGAGAGAGAGGGCAAAACAGTGAAGCAACTTTTTTCCCCCAGAATTTTCACGAATCATACCTAGGTCGTCGGAAACTATTCCACGAGATTGGCCGGATCCACAGAATATAAAAAGTGACTCTGAGGATCTTAGTTTTAATTGGTTTCCTTTAATTGTACTCCAAGTCTAACTCTCCCAATTTCCGACACCCCATTTATGATCTTAGTTGTCGAGTAATGGCATATTAACCATTCTCTTATTCTCCCAAACCACACCCAAACCTATTACTGCCAGTATTTATTCTGGCACTTTAAATCGGTTTTCTGCAGTGGTTCGTGCGCGCGCTTGTGTGTGTGTGTGTGTGTGTGTGTGTGTGTGTGTATGATCGTTTTCAGAAGTTGCCATTTGGAAGGAGCAAAAAAATGGATGAGTATTGAGCCCGGATTATTTTGTTTCACATGGAGTGGGGTTTGAGTGCCAAGCACGATCGTTTACTTTTGTGTATGTGGCGTTGGTGTATTTAATACTGCAATATGATCACGGACTTGTGAGAATTCGGCAAGTTTTAGCTGATTACAATTACCCTGTTATATGAGTACCTCCTTGTCCATTATTCTGCGAATTTGTTCCGGCTTTCCTCTGTTTCCTTATTGAGATATGAGGTTGTGGTCTTTGCAAATATTGTCACCACTTAAACACTGACCAACTTGGTTTCCTCGATTCGAGATTATTGTAAGAATTTTGACATTCTTTTTGGAGTTGTTCTCTCTGTTAGTTTTTGTGAATTCCATTTGTGTGTGGCAAACGAAATGAGATAAGATAATATCGGTAGTATTGTTAGAATTCACCAGCATCTTGTAGACAATTGTGGAATCATCTGAATATTTAGGCGGTATTTGTGATAAATTGCCGTCATGATAACTGAGACGTCTCGGTTTGATTCACAATTTTGAAACTCGACCTTCTTTCCTAGCCTCCCTCCCCCCCCCCCCCCCCCCCCACCCCACCTACTACGCCTGATAAGTTGCTCTGATTCCCTGCTGGTCGTTCTTAGCAAATTCGTATTCATGCTTATTCGTTCCAGCTTTTAATCTGCTTTCGCATTGTGTGTTTTGGTGGATGTATTGAGCCTGGAATAATGCACGAATACGCCTCTCATTAGAAGTTATGAATCATCATCTCTTTCAAACTTCCAGATGTGGCCTTGTCTTTGGACAGTGGGGTCCACGATACAAACACCTACCCGCGTGATAAGTGGTATGGATTTTCGTTGTTGCTTTTCCTTGACGCTATGCCCCTTTGTTTCGCAGTTCTTAACTTTAATGATTCGTTTACCCAATCAGAACAAACGGCTTTAGGCCAATTTCAGGATTTCAAATTGTGCAAATTTGTAGGTTTCTAAGATGTGGAAAGTTTAAATCGGGGATTGAGCTCTTGAGAAACGTGAAATTTTATTGGTTCTTGATATTTTTGAAAGTTGATTTCGGTTGGAGCTTATTTGGCAATTTTGGAAATCGTTCTCACTGTCAGCTTTAGAACTTAATATCTCAATAATTAACATTCTGTTCCTGCCTTGGGTTAGTGAGCAATTACCTAGGCAGCCTATCGATCGAAAGTTCACATTTGAGTCGAATAATTTTCGAGCTTGAATGTCGCTTGGCTTAGGAACTTAGCTGTCATCACACATAACTGCTGATGTCTATGCGACTAGACGTCTAGACGCAGGGAATGTATTTTCGGGGCTGTATGCGTGGTTGTCATGACTAATTTTCAAGGTCGCGTTTATTTTAGGCATACAGTCTCGTAATGTGTACTTCTCTCTCTCTCTCTCTCTCATTTTTGTTCAGGCCAGTGCACCTAGTCCTGCCTGGTCATTCTGTCTTCTTTCGATATGCAAAATCCTCCAGAGTTAATCAATATTTAAGGATTAATAATTGGCGGCTGACAAAGTTCTCCCTTCCAACGATTCCTCTTTCCCAGTCCTAAAAAATCGAAGCAACATAATGCGCTATTTGATAGATAGATAGATTAGTGCTCTGCGGCTTCTCTAATGAGAAACACACTTTCTAACTTCCCCCTATTGACTAATTTTGGGCAGTACTGTTAGTCCTGTTGTTCATAATATGCTCGCTGACGATTTTCAAACTCAGGATCTTTGACGCGGCCGATGCGCTTCCTAGACCTGTAAATTCTCAACATTCAAATATGGAATTGAAAGGAATGTCCCCCAGAAGACCTCTGAGAGAATAATTATTGGCTTGATCGAATCTGAGTATATTAGATCCATCACAATTTTAGATCATGTGAATAAATGCTAAGATCCTTGCCACCACACTTGTAATGTGGGACTCATTCTTATAACTATCTATTCCTCTAAAAGTAGTCAAGACTTTACGTGAATGAAGTATTTCTTAATTGAACAAGTCTATTTTACATCTCCAGAATCCTTATTACCTGCAATCCATCACAAAACTTTAATGCCTTTTTTAATTCGCATGGATATTTAAGCGATTTCCGTCTCTCTATAGTCTTATTTTCATCAGATTAGCGCACTTCTAGGCTCGGTTATCATCCCGCTTGCCTAAACCGTCTCAAATCATTGGGGTGGGGGGGTGTATAAAAACAACACCCCTAGGGAAGCAAATCTCTCTCTGTGTGTGTAATGCGGCGTTCGCAGCCAACCCCCCCCCCCCCTCCTCCATTCAAAAGGTGCGCACTTGCAAGCAAAAAGCGATTCGCAACCGGCTGCAAAGCGACTACTTCTACTTGGGATGGTTTAGGCTTTCGCACACACAGGGTTGGGCTTTTTTGTGTGTACGCACAAGCACTACCGCTCACACACACACTTTCAATCATTTCTCACTTTCTCCCCAACCTACCTCCACCTTTGAACCAACCGACACCCCCTGCCTATTTTAGTCTGTCTCTCCTCACTCAAAACACTTCTCCCTAGTGTAGGTATGGCGAGTGCGTGTGTCTGAAAGCACTTCCTCTATCTCCATTTAGAATTTGCCCACATTTTATGGCTATGTCTGTTTACGCTATCCAACACTAGAGTTTATCTCTTAAAAATCGCATTTTTACCTCTCTCCCTCCCTCCCTCCCCCTCCCTCCCTCAGTTTTGTCATATTGCATTATTAACATTAATATGTCCTTGCTCAAAGGTAAAGTAACTATACTTCTATTCCATTAGGTAACTATGTTGTGGAAGTCACCATAGATCTTTCGAAATCGGTGGAACAGGAATCTGTCCAATGGGTCGAACTTTGCTCTTTAATATCTCAGTTTCAGCTTGACATAGAAGTTATTCAATCGAACTTTGTGCTTTACACTACGTCGAACGAGGTTAAATAAAGTTGAAGGTAGCTTTTAAGTGGGAATGCGTTTACAGTTGCGTTTTTAGAAATTAACATTCATTGGATTGTTTGGTCACTTACCTTGAAAGGAATGAAGTTTTTTTGCGGGTGGAGAAAGCCTAAGCGCTACTTGAACCAGATATGTATCTCCCAATTTGCTCATTCCTTCTCCCCTCAGTAACTGCTAAATTGTGAACTATGTACTTCTTGCTCTTTTCATGACTTTGATGTGGTGTGCGAACAATGCTTTAAACCATCTTGTATATCACTTGGCTAAATGGTTAAATCTATTGCCGTTTCGTTCAGTCATTTCATATTCGTGTAGTTTCTTATTTTGCGTATTAATCAAGTACGTTCAACAGAGGTTTGCTCTTATCTCTCTCTCTCTCTCGTTTCCAAAAATGATCGATAGTTTTATCAAGTGCGCCCTACACGTCTGTGGTGTATGCCATTTAATAGATGTATATCAACTAATTCCATTAGGCATGCTAATTATTGGTTGGTGGGTCTCGTCCTTGCCTTAGGTAAGTGATGCAAGCTTTCATAACGGTTTACGAATTTGCTGGTTTGCGATGTGTGTGTGTGTGTGTTTTGATCAAATTACAGTCCTCATCATATTTCTTTGTAAATGGAAGATGGCTTGTCTTCTGCGTCATTGGGTAGAAATCTTTAATTATACAGCTAAGTTGTTGTGAACACTTTCATTGTTTCTTTTGCTGTGATTTGTGTATTGCTTTTACTGCTGCCTAATTACGAATTAACGTGCTCTGGAGGTTTGTTTATTTATTTCAAATGGCAGGCGTTTTGATAGCTATCGTTAGCCATTTAGCTGACTTCGGGCTTCACAGAGGGAAGGTTCATCAAAGTACCAGAAAGTCGAGGTGTGGGGAACAGAAGAGCGATTCACAGATGCAAAAGAGATAGACAGACACAAAGGTAGAGAAAAAGGCAAAGTGAGTACTGTGGAAGGGATCGAATATGGCATAGAGTGAGGTGACAGTAGTTTGAAATGAGAAGTCAACTGCCGGTTTATAGACTTTGCCGTATGCGTATACGTTGCCCAGGGTGCACCACGTGGAGGTAAGTCTATCGCACTCCCCTCAGCCAAATATTACTATTCAGTTGTTGCTGGGTTTTACAAAAAATAACGTCTATCTTTTCCTGAATTATTTTCTGCAAACTTCAATGTGCAATCTGTACTTGTTCTATATAATTGTCCTTATTTTATAAACGGATTCACATCCTTCTTGTTTATAGAGCAAAACTTGTTGCGCTTCGAATTCGAGTTTCAAATGAAGATTTTTTCCGATAATGAACTGTCAGCGGTTCATATTGATGAGTTATTTCTTGCCAAACTTTTCACGAACCTCTCCATAAACAAGGTCTCGAGTGAAGGAAGAAGCTTATTGTGCTGAATTTAGGTTTCTTGTCAAAATTAGATTAGATAATTTTAAAGCCCATTGTGCACTGCTATTGAATAAAAATGTGCTATTTTTTCATAAGTCAATTAATTTGGCATCACAAGAAAGTAATTTGATGATATGCTGCTCATCTCAATTTGCATATCAGCACAAAGGATCTAAGAATGAGATGATAGTAGTCCACAGCAATACTTGCAAATGTATGTTCGATTCTGCAAAGCGATCAATGAATTTTTCATTCTACTGCTCAATTTAAAGGTGGTATCTGTAAACGCACCTCCCTTAGAATCTCCTCTTAAATCATTCGGCATAGACAACCGCGTGATGTGTCTAACTTGATCTCAGAATTTGAATAATCCACGCAGAGCTAGTAGATTCCAAAGAAAAATCGAGAGAGAGAGAGAGAGAGCGCGCGCGCGCTTATAGAAAGTCTTGGCTTGGGGAAATCGATCAATATGTCAAAAAAATCGACCACGCCAATCTCTATGCCTAACGAATTCCAACCTCGATGGGGTCGGTATGAAAATGGCGAACTTCAAAGGTGATTATTGTACGTGAATGCATGCGGCGGAAACGTTCTTGCACTATCAACGAGATCACCGTTCCCTCGTGCCCAACCATTAACGTGGACTTACTTTGTCCAATTTCCGGATGTTTATTAGCCCCAAAAAGGCCAAAATGGTTTAAATGTCATGTATCAGTATTTCGTCATTAATGTAGCTTTCGGATTCATTTCGGTATCTTCAAAGAAAAACAAAATCAACAAATGGGGTTAATCGGGTAGAGATGGGTGGAGAAGTGTAATTATCCCGAATCCCGTGAACCGGTTTCTCCTAGTCTTTTGCAAAACTATTTCCTCTTCTGCAATTACGCGTATATAGGCTATAGTATGTTTATAAATTGTCTCTTTACTCTCCTCTATTTGTCCTCTTTCCTTTTAGCCCTCACAACTGACAACCCAGAGGCCCCCTGAGTATTGGTGCAACATTGCTTACTTTGAGTTGGACCAACAGGTTGGCGAGCTCTTCAAGGTTCCATCTCACTACACTCGTGTCATTGTGGACGGCTATACAGATCCCTCGAGTCGCAATCGATTCTGCCTTGGTCAACTCTCCAACGTCCACCGGTACCTCTTTTGCTTATCTCTAGCCTATTTTTCTTGATCACTCAATCTTGATTGGACTGAGGGTAGCCACATAGAGTAGGAGTTAGCATTTAGAAATTTATTTATTTCAAATGGCAGGCGTTCTGATTGTTATCATTAGCTCTTTAGTTAACTTCGGGCTTCACAGAGGGGAGGAGGAATATCAAAGTGAAAAAAAGTCGAGAGGATGGGGGGGGGGAACAGAAGAGTGATCCAAAGATGTATAATAGACAAACACAAAGGTAGAAATAGGTGAGGTGAGAACTGTGGAAGGTGTCGAATATGACATACAGTGGGGTGATGGTTGTTTGAGGTCAGAAGTCAACTGCCGCTTAATAGACTTTTTGCCGTATGAGTATACGTTGCCCAGGGTGCACCACATGGAGGTAAGTCTATCGCACACTCTATCATTTAGAAATAATAATATATTATCTATCGAATGCTATGGTTGGCCAGGCTTACGCTCTGTTCCACTTTCGCTGGTTTAACTCGTCTCTGCGCCTTAAAGGACTTTCTTTTTCTTTGTTAGGTCAAATGGATGCGCTGAATTATTATTGCCTTGAGTGAGTTAGGGTTAGTTAATTTATCTGAGATGGGAGGCGTTGTCGACCCTAGATTTGCTGTTGATAGCTCAAAACGGGACGCATCTCCCAGTAGGCACTAATCATATTTTGCAATGAAATGTAGCGCTCATTTGGATTTTTATCTACCGACCTTTTCCTTCAATTCTTCTTGCAACACCACTAAATATCGATCCCTTGGTCTATTCCCTGGTTGTCCTTTAAACTGCCATTTTAAATTATTGGTAGTATAAAACACGATGATCTATACCACTTCTACCGCAAACCTTGAATAAAGAAGGCTTTTAAACTTGATGGTATCTCGTCCAGATGTCCAATGTTCATTAATGTGCATAGGTTTATGCGAGTGTCCATCCTAGCTCCTCTCACTTGTCCTTCAATCGAGGCCACCTGTCAGTCACTGACAGTCTCACACACTGTGGGCTTGTCAACAATAGAGTGGAAGATGGGAGTGGCAAGAGATTGATTCCCTCTTGTTCGCTCACGTCTTGATTGATAGAACCTCACGAGTGTCTACTGATTAATCCTCCTCCCCCCTCCCCCCCCCTCCCCACCTTTAAATGCGATTTTCCCATAGTTAGTCAATGTCACAAATGGTCCGTTTTTCAGCTGCCCATCGTGACATGCAACGCGCTTGGCCACCCCCCCCCTCTCGATTTAAATTTAATTTCAATCTTCTTAATTCAAATTTAAAACAAGGACGGGAGGTGGGGGGGGGGGGGGGGATAANGGGGGGGGGGGGGGGGGGGGGGGTATATAAAGCCTCTTATTTTGAACTCGGTAGTTTTAACAGCAGATGTGCTTTTGCGATTGGTAATTGTTAAGCTTAAATTGAATGCGATTTTTATCTTCTGTAATTAGTTCCCTGATGCCTTCTCATTTCACATTGCTTTGCTCGGAGTCTCAATGACATCGAGGGTTCCATGTTAGTGGTTTCCATCTTCATCATCTTTTGTAAGGCTTTTTAATTAAAATTCTCCATACTTGACCTAAACCAGAGCCTTGTTCCCTGTTGTTGATGCACTGGTGATCATAAGATGAGCTTCTTCGCTATTCATGGACTCTTCACTGATACATTTCAATCGATGCTTGTGGGCTCCAGTTTGCAAATAATTATGGACTCTTATTACTGACAAGTGGCGATACTTGTTTTTAAAGCTGGTTATTCTGTACTCCAATTTTCTGTGTACCGCATTGGTAGTTTATTTACGTCTGGTCATATCATCAGTGTTTTGGTTTTGTCTGTCTGTCGCGTTTACACTATGTCCGAAGTGTCAATGCGCTTGATATACTCTGCCAAATTCGTACCATCTCGGTTAGTCATTTTTTCGGAGTTGTCTGGAGTTGCAACACCTGAAGGCGGCAGGTCCAGTTGATATTAAAAGAACTGGTTTGTATGTATTCCCCTTTGCTCCAAACGATGCCATCTATATATGTTGAAGGTCAAGTTCTGCAGTTGTTGCTCTTGCATCGCTCTTTGCATAGTGGGTTCGGAGCCAGTTATACTCAAGTCACTGTGTCTCAAGTGGAGCACATCAATTGGTCCGAAACTGACAGTCCGTGCACCACGACGGTCTTATAATTGACCATCTACACTGAATCGTATATTTCACGGTCGTTTTAATCGTATACATTCATTACAGGTGCATTTATTGAATCATCAGATCGATCCTTGATTGGAAAATGTCTTGGATTCATGCAAAGAACTCCTTACACAAGAGGTTTGTCACCCTGTCAAAGGGAGGGGCGGGTATCTTGTTCATTTTGTTCGATTTAGGGTTTTGTTTAGATGGCGAATTCAAATCAATGGGTTACAGTATGGTTACTTTGGCGTAATTTAAGGACATTCAAACTGTTTCACCTAGAAGAATAGAATTACTAAATTATTTACACGGTCTTAACTTAAAAGGTATTGGATGCTGTAATACAGAGTATCAATACTTTTCAAGGCTAGAGGAGAGGGCATGCTTAATTTATTAATTCTCTTCTACCTAAGGCAAAGGCTCTTGATGCTATACGTGGTAGCTGTTATTCCTGATAAGAATTCGAATAGTAATCCAGGGGGTAAATTTTGAAATGTGAATTCGTATACATATATAGACTTTAGGACAGTTGATAGTAAGTTCATTAGTTGTCTTCTGGCTTCCCAGTATCGTTGGGTTTCTGTCGCTGTCTTTTTAGGTGGGTCTTCTCCATTTCCTCCTGTAGGTCACATAGGAGGCATGTTGGTTGAGCGCATATGCCTGTTCTGTGACGGTGCTTTGCCAGAAATTTGTGATTGTAAGACCGTGAATTGGCTATCAAGGGCCATTTCCTATAATCAGCATTCGAAAATCAAGTGAAGCAACTCGTCCGACCCTCTTCTTTTAACCCCCCCCCCCCTCCTTACCCTCTATTGCATTTCATTTTGCTCCCCCCCCCCTTTGTTTGCTTCTCCACACGCAAAAAATGTAAAGTTGAGGGTTTTGTCAGCATGATTTATGAAGTACTGTGGAAGAGCAGGAATTGTAGGACACCGGTAATTAGATGATACGGGGGGGGGGAAGTCATGTTCAATGATGTTTCTTCTCCATATTCCCACCATTTAAAGCATGCCCAAATCGCAGTCATTTCCTCCTCTTCAAAGGCGCGCCCCACTTCCAAACGCCGTGTATTTTTAATTCCCCCCCTAAAAATTCACAATTTCCGTGCAACCTACTGGCAGTTACAAATATGCACATATGTGCGTTTGCGTTTTGCACTTTAAATTTGTGCGACCTTTGGGCACTGTTGGTGCTAGAATTTCTTGCTCTACGTTTCACCTCCGCACCCCACCCCCCACCCCCCCCCCCCCCCCCCCCCCCCCCCACTCATTCTCACACTGACTAAAAACATAGAGAATGTAGAGTACACAAGGTGACGAAAGGCCACATCAAAGTAATTTCATTTAAGTCTGCTTATGGTAAATTTCAGCCTCTCAAAACCCAAATCCTACCATTCCCTTAATTGAACAGGGTGTTTAGTCAGTCCACCCACTCATGATCTTCGAACCCGTTGGCCACCGTGGCATGCTATCAGCAATGCCAGAGCTTGTTTCCTTTTTTGATGAATTAGAGTTAGCTGATATCAGATAATGAACACATATTGCCTAACAAGATTAACAAATGGGCTGTGTGTGTGTTTGTCGATGTGTACGCTGGCGTCAACACAGCACACACACATGCATGTCAAGTCAAGTCAGATATCGGGGGGGGGGGGGGGGGTGCACATGATGACATGGTTGGCGGACAATGCTAGTTAGTTCCAATCGATGAGTAGATCGGTAGAATATAAGGTCTTTCATAGAAGTGACACCAGTATGCCTTCTATTCATGCAAATTAGGAGTTTTCAATGCATTCCCTCGCAGTATTGTTAAGTTATTTTGTGCTCTGCAATTTAGAGACCCCATATTCAAAATCCTTAGGTTATTCAATGGCCAACCTCTGATGTTAATAATATTCGATATAAGGTAATTCTCAAAATCCAAGACTCCAAATGAATTCTTTATACTCAAGGTGGGAATCGGAAAACGAGTTGCAATGTTTCAATGAAGTGATTAGTTAAGAAGCACGGTTATCGAGATTAAGGGGTTTGAATTCCTTCGAATCTAAACTCTGTCGTCGACTTTGTGTGTTTTATCAAGCGTCGTTTTATGCTGAGGACAGTGGATTTGAGATCTCGGAAGTTTATTTTTATCACATGGCAGCCCTTTGGTTGACTTCTTGCTTCACAGTGTGGAGAAACATCAAAGTGAAAATAGTCTAGAGGGGGACAGAAAAATGATTCACAGGTGCAAGAGTGACAGACACAAATGTAGAGAAAAAGTTAAGATGAGGTGAGTACTGTGAAGTGGTGGAATATGGCAAACAGTGGGGTCATGGTAGTTTGAAGTCAGGAGTCAACTGGCTGTTCATAGACTTTTTTGTCGTATGAGTAAACGTTGCCCAGGGTGCACCACATGGAGGTAAGTCTGTCGTGCACCCCTCGTGATCCTAGAATTAATGCTGTGCATTTACCATCTCATTCACTTCCCTTCTCAGGAATTTATGCTAATGCCGGTAATGGATTTCCTTCTCATGTTACCTTCACATCGAAATGACTATGCGAGTTCCCCTCAAACCTGGGGTTATTTTATTAATCTTCTTTTTATGGGTGAAAACTCCATCACACATATATCTCATCTAATGGCTCTTATTGTGTGCCAGTGTGCGTATTTTTGAGTGATTGATTGGGGGGTGGGATGTAGGGGGAGGGGGGGGGGTGGCATTGGTAAGGAGGAGGGTGGGAGTCTGTTAATTTGCATTTGTGTCTATTCAACTTAATCCCTTTAAACAGCTAATGCGATAATCGGCTGGGAGTTAGGACTTATTTTCTCATGCATTTAATTGTTTTTGCTCCAAATTACAGCAGCCCTTCTTTAGTATTGCCTTTTGTGTGCAGCTACTCAAAGATCAACGCAACAGATCTAAGACTACTATATTGAAGAGATGAGTTCAGCTTTAAGCTTTTTTGTGTGTTTTGTTCGTATTTAATAGGGTACACTGGACACTCAGATGCATAGCTTCTATGAGGATGAAATTGGTGACTTCATTCTTGACAACTTATAATGAACTTGGATTTCTACTTTCATCTCAAACTTTGCTTCCAATTGTTGTCATAAATTTCGATTTCACTGTTTTTCAGCTCTAAGAATTTATATATGCTGTTGCCATTTCAAATAGATCCTTTTCTATCTAAGTCACCCCTCCATGTTCCGTTCTTTTTTTAAATACAGATCAGAGCAGTCAGAAAAATCTCGTCTCTACATTGGCAAAGGTGTTGAATTGGACATAGTGGGTGAAGGCGATGTTTGGATCCGATGTCTCTCCGAATTCTCCATCTTTGTACAGAGCTACTATTTGGATCGTGAAGCCGGTCGAGCACCAGGGGATGCTGTCCACAAAATCTATCCTGGTGCCTACATAAAGGTATGCCAACATTGTTCTTCCTTGTCCGCTAGGTTTCCGTGCCTTGAACTCATTGAGACTACAGGGTTGTCGACTAACATTCGCTCTGATAACTTGAAAATTTTATGCCTTGTACATGAGGCTCGCAAAGAGTTGACTACGTAGAATACAAATATGTGTAATTGAGTGGATGAGTTATCGTTCAACTCGGCGAATTACTGATTGGGAGGAGTTTGGAGTGTCTTGTCTCTGCTTAAATAAACAAACACTGAGGAAACAGGTTTTGTGATGGCTTTGCGTTTGCGAACAAAATGGGCGATGTAACTCGTGTGTGTAGAGTGTTTATTCAATCGCGTATGAATGGGAAAGAAGTAAAAACGAGTGCTTTGGAACTCACGAGAATTTTTAACTTGCTTGTGGGTTGGTTTTCAACAGAATTGAATTCCCTGACGTGGTCCCACCACCTGAAGTGTTTCTAAAACAGCGCTTATCGCAAGAAGAGAACAAAGCATCCCTCTCAACCTCGCACAGGCGCCTTACTCGATGCATATACGTGAGGAAGAATTCAAAAAGAGGAGTTGATTAATGTGAATGCCCCTTAAAAGGCAGGGTGGGGGGAGGGCGGCGAGTGCAAGCGGTCACATATGCGCGCAATTTTTTGTGTAGTACGCTGACTTTTACCATTTTGGTGCGTTCTCCGCTTAATAGCGTGGGGGGGGGGGGGGGGGGGGGGGGGGTTGCACAAAATCGCTGGTTTATTCTTTGTGATTTTCTAACTCGCATTCATTCTGCATAGGTAACCCTCTGGTTGAAAAGTGAACACTCCACTACCAACTTTCAGCGAACAATCCTACTATTTTAATTCTTTAAGTTAAGGTGCAGATTTCAAATTTGTGCATTGGATGCTAACGCCATTCTTATTTAAAAGTGCGTATGAGAGTGCTTGGTTGAAATTAAACTAGCTATTCAGCTTACTTCATTACTTTTAACTATGGTAACATTCAGACTTGTAGGAAGGGAAGTTGGTGAAGATGGGCACAGAGTCGGGGAATCAGAAGACCCCTGCTTTTTCAGTATCCGGGGTTTGGGGTGATCGATTCATCAAGGAGTCGGTGACACCAAGGGTCCACACGAACGCCATTTGGCCTATTGTGCGAGGAATGAGATTCATACTATCAATTTCTCATTCTTTCTCCCCAGCATCTTGTTTTTCATCCTAAAGATATTGTCTTTAATGATTTCGCGTTTGGAGATATAGAGGGACCTTTTGTAGAAATGTTATGACTTTTACCTTGATGGTATATCGTTTTTACTCACTAATGACCTGTAAATGGATGGGGAATACGGTTTATTGATTTTGGGTCTGCGTTTATAAAATATAAATGCCCATACAAAGGACGCCTATTTCCCTTAAAACTATTTAATTGAGACGATTATGAAACAATGTTAGCGTTTCTTGATGGTTGATAAACTGTTATTGCACTCCCCTCTATCAATCTGCTAATTTTTTTTTACCATTTTATACTCCTATCACCCCAAGTCTAACGTACTTTTAAAGTACATAGGCAGAGGTTCCCTCGTTAGATAGATCATATATATACATATGTCATGCGAAGGGCAATTAAGACAAATTCTTCATATTTTGAAAGGTCGCTCAAATCAAGTGGGTTGATAAACCTCGTGTACTACCTTCAAGTTGTTTGTTTCACTTGAGATTTAAAGGCGGGTTTCTCGCCAATTGTACAATGTTGGTAGGCTACTGATTGGTGCGTGTTTTCTGTCTAGAAGTTTTTATGAACTCTTCTGATTTACGGATTCACTTGGAGAAGAACGGCGGCAAGCAGTCTATTAAAGATGGAAAGGGGGGGGGGGGTTTGAAGAGCTAATCAGCTCGTATACTTGAGTGGGGATTAGTCTTGGTGTTGCATATATAGGGCTTACTGGGGTGCTTAAATGTACTTCCAAACCTGCACCTAATATGACTTCTTATTTTGTTGAGAGCTTTTGTGACGCATTGTCGGAGGAGAATTGTCTTTGGGATGCAGCAGATATGAAAGTACAATCTTCATTAGGGGTGGGGGGAGGGGTATATCCACTCATTAATTAGGAACGTTTGAGCGCATAAACTTTGATGAGTGTTTGCTGTGCCATTGGTGAGACTGTTGACATATATTCCCCATCAATGCATGAAAAGGCACTATTTGTGCGGGTGTGTGTGTGTGTGTGTGTGCATTAGCAATCACCTTTTCAACATGTATTTCTATCACGCAAGTCGTGGTCTCAAAATCAATGTTCATTGGTGTATGCCCGATGGCATTGTTTTTCAACCGCACAATATCTGCTTCTGGGAGACGTTGGGGTGATCATGCAATACAGATTTCGCATTTCAGCTTTGATAACACTTCTCATAGTACTTTTGGGTAGGTATATTTTTGCTTAATTTATCGCAGCTGTGGAGTAAAGTAGGCAGTTATCGAAAGGGACGACGATGAAGTCACGCATTATTGTACAACCTGGGGGGGGGGGGGGGAGGACTGTCTCAGCTGTTAAGCTTAACTGGGCGTGACTGACTGACTGATGTGAGCTCCTTTCCTGTCTGCTTGTTGCTTGCGCGTCCATGGTTTGGCCAGAAATTGGGATACATGAATCACCCCCTCGGCGGATTCTTGGAAGACAAATTGTAGTGAATAGCCTCTTGATCATTCTCTCTCTCTCTCTCCTTGCAATATTTACAGCTCTAATCGCTAAAAGAAACGCGGATCAAGCTTACCACTACTTCATACTGTGCATATATGGCTTCCTATCATTGAATTTATGCTCTTTTGTCACCAGTTTTCACTGCTTTTTTTCGTGTTGGAGTAGTTGATCACTTCTCTCAGATCTCTGGGCTTCTTCAAGTCCTCTCTCATAGTAATTTAGCTTTGAGTGGCAATATGTGACCACCAGCCACGTTTTAAAATTTCGTTGAGAACGACATTACCTGAAATTTTCTCACGTTCATTCTACTAATCCCCCTCACAATATTATCGATGCACGAGGTGCTACTGCTGATTTCTCTCCCATGCAAGTAATGAGATGGTGCAACTTGGAAATCCTAATTGTAACTATTGCTGCTGCTGTCGTTGCTGTTCATCGGCACGTGCATGTTTGCTTCAAATGCGCGAGTCCAACTTTCCTGTTTTTCTTTTCTTTGTGGCAAAATAAATCACGCAAATCGGCCACTGAAACTGCCGTCTTTCGTTTCTTTGTTGTTGTCTTACTGTTGTTGTTGTTGTTGTTATCGTCTTTGTTGAATGAAGGTGTTTCCTCTACGCCTACTTACTCGTGTCCCTATCTTCTGGCTTTAACTTGACTGCCTCTTCTGCCACATTGAGAATGGATGAAGTAAAAGGTTCTATGCGCTGTTTTGTTTGCTGCGTACAATTTTTTCTTGGAAGTTTGTTTGTGTGTGTGTGTGTGTGTTTTCACGACGTTTTCCTTGCCCGCTTCCAAAGTCAACTGGTGGGGCTTTACATACGAATACTATAAGTCACCAACATGATGGAGTTTCCCATAAATTTCCAAGTTGTCTTCCTCTTAGTTATAGGCTAAGAAAGTATAGAAATTGGAGAAGTTTAGGTGTCACCAGAGCACAGAAGACAAAGATTATTGCTGGGCCATTGACAACTACTGCTCATTCGAGTCCTAACTTCTCCGTGTGGCAAAAACACACTTATCAGCGGCTTATTAAGACAACTTGGTCTTTTTGTGCCTGAACAAAGCGTGGTCATTGATCGGTCCTATTTTTCCTGGGTCCAGGACGCAAGCCGTTAGCTTAGTGCCTCTCATACTGTCAAATTGACGTTGTGTTTCCAGGGCACTACATTCCTTCCTTCTCTCTTCACCACCACCACTACCACCTCCTACTACTTTCAGCCCCACTCTACTTATCCACTTCCTCTTCACTTAATTCGCCAATCACAAAAGGTCAAAAGACAGGAGAGAATACTGACAGTAGTGTGAGGGTGACGTAACTGGCAATCTCGCAAAAAAGGAAACACGCCTTATTCTCTTCCCTCTGCTCATTTAACATAAGTAATCGACTAGTGAAATGGTTGATTGCATAATTTAGTGTTCGCTGCCTTTTTTTATAAGCATCTATTTTAGAGGCTGTGGTAACCGGTGGGGCGCATTGTAAGCATCCTTAGCACCCCTACGGTCCTCTTTCAAAATAAGCTCCTCATTGGTAATAGACTCCTAACACAAGGTGCAATTGGCGTTTGCAACACTTTCAATACGTGTCTACAGCCGTCGCCTGATGCACCACCAAAACTTATCACGTCGCCGGGCAACAGTCTGCTGTGTGATGAGACACGCATGTGTGTGATTGGGTGCATTTAAAAAAAATAAATTATTCGGGTGTTAAAGGGTAGGGTTAAGGTGGGATGATTTGAGTTTTGATTGACTTACCACCGCCAAGTTTACTATTACTTGCCTACTTCATGAAGTTTAATCCATTATAATGTGGTCTGATCAAGCTACGCGTTCTCGAATCAGTTGCGTTTCATTTGGTTGGAAAGGAAAATGTGTTGCATCTATAGGCCTAGTGGTGTTTAAAAAAGTACTGCTTATTGTGTAAGTACGACAATTTGGCATTATTAAAGCATATCCCCTTTGACCTTGATCATTTGTGAATGACCGTTTAATTTCTTTAAATGGATTCAGTTTTGTAGAATCTTATGCGTCGTCGGTTGTCGCAGTCACCGCCTCTTTCACGATTCCCTAAATTGTTTTGAAGTCGGGGGGGGGGGGGGGGGGGGGGGGGGG